AGAGTCTTACCATGAAGCCAAGGCCTGGCTTGAACTCTGATCTGTCTTCCAAGTTTAAGGATGACAGGCAGGCAGCACCACGCCAAGCCCAGGCTGGCTTTTCACTGCTACCTGATGGTGCCTGACAGGGCATGTCCCACAGTTGGTGGGGACAGGGCCATGCAGTCAGAATCCTCTGAGAGCAGCTGGTAGGAATTCTCCAACTTAGAGTAGAACTACAGGGGCCTACTTTTACTCACATCACTGTTAAAGCCATTAAGTCAGCTCACATGACAACTGAGTAAGTTTCTGGGCTTCCTGCCCACCCATAGGGTATGTCCCCAGTGCCCCGCGCAAGCTCAGGGGGTTACTATTCAATGCAGATCTCTGACTCAGATCCCAGTCTCCTCAGCAAGGACCTTAAAGATCAAGCCTTTTATACTGGGCGTGGCGCTGTGCCCTGCACTCACAGCCTTATAGGAGGCTGAAGCAGGATGACTGCAAATTAGATTTCAATCCGAACAACTTAGCAAGAGCATCTCAAAATAAAAAGGGCTGAGAATGTCCCTCAGTGTGGAAGATCTGGGTTCAAACCTTGCTGACAAAAAAATTAATGTTTTTAACACAGAAGGTCTTTTTAAATCCTTGGTGTCCTGCACGTCATGAGGTCTGCCTGGTCAGGACAGGAGTAACATTTTTACTTTAATACAAAGCAGCATGGTGAAGACGAAGGGCCGAGACAGAGCTGGCACACATGCTCCCGTGCTGACCCACAGTGACACCGAGATGTGCCACTTCTGGAAGGAAGAGGCCTCTCTCACTAAGATTCTGACCTGGGAATACAAAGCGCCTGCTGAGTGCTGCTCTGACCAACCCCATCAAAAATTCGGTGAGGGTGGCTACAAAGCCTTCGGTGGCTGCTGTGAACCAGGGCCTCCTGGTCCTGTCACCTGCATAGCGACTGTGAGGGGAGACGGCAGACCTAGATGCACCACCCGTTACTTGCCTTCTTAGCTGTAGACCAAAGAGAAACAGGCATCTCTCCTCGCACTTTACCTCTGGGTCCTGAGTTCTCACTCACTTCAACAGTGACTTCTTCCCACCGGATTCCACCAGAGAATGCTAATTAGACACAATATCACTGCTTAATCGCTTTTAATTTTGCATTCCCAAGTTACACTGTCACTTGCTTTTTGTGTCTTTGTCCTTGAAAATCTAGGGCAGTAGGTCTGCACAGTGTAGCCGATGTGCTTATTTCCAAGAGGGTTTCACTTTATCAGAACTTACCTGCTCCCAAACTAGGCTGCAGCCTTTACATATTTCACAGCCTCACCATTACACTTGGGAGAAGTGGGGTTTTTTGCCTGGTGGTATGAGAATTTGAACCCAGTGCCTCCGCACTGTGCTAGACCCCAGCCCTTTGCCTGAGACAGGGTCTCTCCCAGTCACTACGTTGTCTGGGCTGGGCTCTGACTCGAGATCCTCCTGACCCTGCCTCCCTGGGATGTTGGTGCCGGGATGTTGAGCAGGTACCACCACACTCTGCTGTCTGTATACTTTTCTGAGATCTGAACATAGAGCAGTTGAGGCTGACCTGACTCCTGGCCAGTAGGCTGGGTCTGTTAACGGGTGAGTGGCATACACTGCGGACCTCTGGCTCCTATGCTGGGCCTCGAGGTCACACACCCTCTGTTAGATAAGGGTGGGAACAGTAAGTCTAGTCCTAGAAAGGGTTCATACCATCTTGTCCTGTTCATTTTCTTAGCTCCAAAGCTGGCCCTCTTGTCTTCCAAAATCCTGCCAGTGAATCACCCAAGGTTTTTTCTTACTAGACTCTAGAATAGCTCAAAGAATGCCAAATCTGAGCGCACTGCTCTAACACAGGCCTTCTTGAGACACCCGCAGGGCTGATGCGGAGAAAGGGTACAGAACCTGCCAATGTCGGGAGCCCCTGCAAACTGGGCAGGCCCCATCCTGCAAAGCCAGGCTGTTCAGCTGGATAGTGAGTTGTGCACCCGCTGAATGAGGAGAAGCGAGCAGCCACCTCCAGCACACATCCACAGGCCAGGTTCACTGCGCTGCTCGGTGTCCACACCCATCTGCTGACAGTGGACAGAAAATCAGCCTCCAAGTCTCCCTCAGCCTTACACCGACTCTTCTAGTTTCCAACTTGATCACCAACCACAGATGGCTATAATGCTGTTCCAGAGGGCAAAATGCATGGGTTTGGTTTGGTTTCTGCTTTACACAGAAGCTTACTTCTACTACTAAAAACTGATAACCAGTCTAAGTAGCCGAGGCAACAGCAGCTGAGCACACGCTATCTTTGGTAGCACAAATCCTCAGCAGTGCAAAGCAAATGCCTGAATGTGCACTAAACCAGCTCAGTGTAGCCCAGGCCACAAACAAGTAAGTCCACAGCACACGTGCCTGAGAGCAAGGAATTCAAGTCTTTAACTCAAATTACACTCAACTCTTTCAGAGGCCAAGCGTGATGGTACACACCTATAATCCCAGCACTTCGGAGGCTGAAGCAGGAGGATCGCTGTGAGCTCAAGGCCAGCCTGAACTGTGTAGTAAAACCCTGTCTCAAAAAGACAAAACTGAAAACTCTTTTGGTAAACATGTAAGGAAGAACCCAAAGTACTTCCAATAGCTGTCATGCAGCCCTCACAAACCATTTTGAAGCCCTGAGTAGTAAGGCCTTTTACTCAGGGCTTAATCTAGTTTCAACCACACTTAATTTTTGTTGCAGTACTGGGGACTGAACCTGTGCCCTAAGGTACAGCCCCAGCCCTTTTTATTTATGGAGACAAGGTCTCACTAAATCACTAAGGTGTCCAGACTGGGCTCAAACTTGCAATATTCTGCCTCTCAGAATGCTGAATTACAGAGGTACGCCCTGCGCCCAGCTCTCACTTAGTGACCTGCATTCCCAAGAAGACTTTCTTACCTCCTGAGCCTCTCTGCTCACCAAACAAACCCTAACTGTGCCGTGATGCCAACTGGGCTACAGGCGGTCTCGGCCCCCCACTGGGCACACTGCCAACACAGAGTGTGAAGGACAAAGGAAGACAGGCGTGGTCTCTACGTCATTCTTTCAGCAGTGGTAATCAAAGTATCACTTCAAAGAGGGAGTCTCCCGTTTTGTCTTTTTGAGACAGGGTCTCGCTATGCAGCTCAGGCTGGCCATGAGTTCACTTTGTAACCCAGCCTGGTCTGGAACTCACAACAATCCTCCTTCCTCAGCCTCCTGAGTGCTGGGATTAAAGGGGTGCGCCACTTCCTCTTTTTAATAAAGGGAGACAAGGTATACTCATTGCTTAGCACATTCTGAAATAGAAAACGTTACCACAAGACTGTACTGGGAAGAACCCAAGAGCCCTCACCAACAGCTTCTGGAATCATTCATAGCTTTGAAGCTACAACCAACTTATAGTCCTAGGTGGACTTCAAAGAAACCTGGAAGACAATCTGGAAATTGCTTTCAAACTCACCTGAAATCAACTGTACATCACAACCCAGTCTCCATCCAGATACACAAACTACAACTAAGGTCACAAGATTTATTACCCTGTAACACGCTGTGTATTTATCCATTTTAATAAAAGCAAACAAAAAAACCCAAAGTTGGCTGTGACTCATTAAATTCCCAGTACTAACTGGTCATGGCCTATTGTTGCAAAAAGCACACTGATCAACTGGGAGTAGTGGTGCATACCTCCAGTTCCAGCTTCTTGAGAAGCTGAGGCAGAAGGATCTGAAGTGTAAGCCCAAACTAGGAAACCTAATTACTGAGACCCTTTCCGAATGAGCTGGGTGTAGTTCAGTAGTAGAGCACCTCAGGGTTCACTTCTAAGCAGTACAAACACACACACAAAAAGCTCAAAACAGGGCTTTAAATCTTCCCCTCACCCCTAAACTTCCTGCCCTTAAAGATGCTGTGGTCCCCTAATTAAGAAGATATTTAAACAGCCTAAATGCTGAGAACAAGCAGCTTAAGGAAGCTACTTTGCCAATTCGTAACTCATTGCTTTATTCATCATTTTATTTTTTTATTTTAATTTTCTTGAGACAGGGTCTCGCTATAGTTTAGGCTAGCCTCAAACTTGTGGCTATTCTCCTGCCTCTGCCTCCTCAGTGCTGGGATTACATCTATTTTATTTTTAAAACATGATATTTTCCCCAATTCAGTGTTCTTCCTATCTTGCTGAAAATTTTTTTTTGATTTCATGGTACTAGGGATTGAATCTGGGGAATCCCAAGCTACATCCCACTTACCCCCCTTTTTAAATTTGATTTTTTGAGATAAGATTTCACCAAGTTGCACAAGCCTTGAACTTGTGATCCTTCTGCTCCAGCCTCCTGAATAGCTGGGATTACAGGCATGTACTACTATGTGCACCTAGCTTATGGAAATTTTTATTAGAAAGTCCCATTAACCTTACTTAAATGGGCACTCCCAAAGGCATTACTGAATTCTACCTTTTCATTTTCCCTCAGAAAGCCTGGTTTCACACTCACGTTTTAGGAGATCTAAAGGAAAAACCTGCACAGTTCATCGATAAAGATTATCTTCCGACTTAAAAATTAGCTTTCAAATCAACACTTAGGATGGATTAGCAAAACAGTCATACAATATGATGATTAAAATGTATTGTTTGAAACTCACTAGTGGTAAAACTGAACTTTTCCAGGAAGAATACTGTTTGATAACTGAAACACAATTCTACCACCTGCCAAGGCTCTTCTAGTTTTCAAATGTCCACTCAACACTCAGACAGATACCATTTACAGTGCATCTCAGCAAGAGATAGCCGCAAGCAACTGATCCATGGCAAACAGCGTAAGAAACACGCTCTATGTTACATGTTGCCAGGCATCCTCAGACAAGCACACCACAACGAGGAGGTATGGGCACCAAAAATACTCTACGCATAAAATGAAGTCAAGGGTCAATAAGCTCCAGGAAGTAGCAAATTCACCTGTCCTTTATGCAATACTTACAAAGCCATAGGAAATGGTTTTATAAAATGTAACTTTATTTTATGTTACTCTGCTGTTACACAGGGCATAACATTTTCACAAGGCTTTTTTGGGACTACAGTCAATGATTAGCAACACACAGTAGTGGTCCAACTCTAAGAAACAATCACTAGACAAACTGGACACCCTCTCACATGTGCACAAATCTGCATGGAAAAGTACTAAACTTTTAGACTTGGACTCATGTACTTAAATTTATTTCCCCTTTCTAGTGTATTAAGAAATGACATGCATTTTAATTTGCCAAAAGCAATGCTTGGATTCTGGCAGCAACATGCTACTTCTATTACATAGTAAAGTGAATACCAGAACTACAAAGGCAAGAGGTGTAAGTGAATTTTTATTGGGAAGGGAAGTTGTCAACTTAAACAGCAGCAAATGAAGTGAATAAGGAAACTTCTGTTGTCACAGACCGACACAACCTCCATCCAACTCGATTCAGGAGGCTTTTGAATTTGCGATCCCCAGCCCAGAGACACCACGTCCTTTCCCGTTCAATCTAATACTTCTGGATTCCTACCGAAAAGGAGCACAGCAGGAGGATGGAAAAGCTGCTCACTGAAAGGAAACCCCAAAGGAGAGAAAGGGAGGGAATGTAGAAATTAAGAAGTTATGTAGAACACTCTTTAAATTGTAATGAACTATTTTGTCATCTTATCTCCACAGTAATACAAAACATAGTCACTGCAGAACTGGTTCAGATTACTTAAATACCAGATACATTTTTAGTCCTCTACATAAGTGTTGGAAGTTACTTATGTTTATATGAAATGAAGCTATTAATACTTTTCTACAGCAGTAACTGCACATCAGGAAGGCCAAGACAAACACAAACCAAGGAATGGAGTTTTCCCAAAGCTGCAGTGTGAAAAGACTAGGAACGGCCGCCTCCATACACACAAACAGGTTCTTTGCTATAGGAAATCCAAGTGGAGTAAGGAATGGAGATGTGTAAAAAGGTTTCTTGTCGGAGGAAGGATGACACCGTGTGTGCACTTAGTTCTCGGCCCCTTCTGCCGCGTCACATTCTTCTCCTGCGCTGTCTGATGTCCATAACTGGAAAAGAGGAATCCCACTCAGTTACCGCGTCTATAGCAACCATCACGAGTCTTCCCGGCTGGTATCAAAACAGAACTCTGACAGATGTAAATTCCTCGAGCAGAGGTTGGGTAAGACAGAAAGCTCTGTCTCACAACTCCAAGGACTACCCAACTCCCTCCTCCCATCCCCCACACCATTCACATTTTCAGTTTATTTTAAAAGTACTGTCATTTCAGAATCAACAAGGCAGCACCCTTGGAACCTAATGTTCTTTCCATTCCCAGAAGCCCACTGCTTTTCTTGACAGCACTACCAAAATATAATTTATAAGACTAATAAGGCAAAAATTGTTTGCAGGAAGGGGACAATCACAGCCAGGTTTTCCAAGTACGCAACGGGCTAACATCTAGGAAGAGCAGGGGACTTATTTTGTGCCGCTTGAAGAGCTACAGCAGTGGGTGGCAGAGGCCGTGAGGAGCAGCACGTGTCTACCCACGTGAACACACAGGGACCATCAAGCAGGCAGAATGCTAAAAATAACAAAAACACACCCAAGGAGCTGATTTCAGAGTGGGAAGGAAGTGAAAACGGGAAGTCAATCTTCATTAACCAATTAAAAAATGGATTTTATCAGACCGACACTACTGTTTTAGAAAAGCCAGAATCTTACATAATCTTTAAGTTATTGTTAATGTACTAAAATTTTAAAAAATAAAATAAAATAGAAAGCAAACACTCCTGGAGAATAACTGTGTCAGACAGAAAACAAACTAGTTCAAAAGACAATCAGTTCCAAGATGCATCTGGGAAGTGGTCTAATCAGCCAGTCTACTCTTCTCCCATGGAGCTGTTGATTACTCGACTGTCCCCTCACAACTACTGGGATCTCTCAGGCCTAAGAATACAGTGTGCTGGGCCGGGTAGAGCAGACCTGTAACCTCAGCATTCTAAGAGACTGGGGCAAGAGACTGGGTGGACCAATCCCAAACATCTCAAAAAATTTGGAGAGCCCATCTCAAAAAAATGTTTTAAAGGGCTGAGGATGTAGCTTAGTGCAAAGGCCCTGGGTTCAATCTCCAGTTTAAAAACAAACAAACAAACCAATCTATTCCTTTCATTTTCTGTTACGTCTAAGATATTACCTATCAAATTTACTTGGACAATGAGAATATTATGTAGCTGGGTATAGTGGTGCATGCAAGAAATCCCTGCACTCCTAGGGAAACTTAGTGAGACCCTGTCTCTTCCTGAGAGAGGAAAGTAGGCGAGGGACGCAACTCAGTGCAAAGGCCTTGGTTTCAACCCCCAGTACCAGGGTGGTGCTGATGGTGAACAATAAAAAGCTCACACTGTACCCTCTCTCAGTCACTTCCTGCTGTAGTTTGGTCTCAAGTGTTCACTAAAGGTCTATCTATTAAGGCCTGGGCCCTAGCTCATGATGCTTGTTGGAGGCAGTGGGACGTTTAGGAAAAGGTAAGTAACTTGGGGCACAACCTTGAAGGGGACTTTGGGACCCAAGCTACTTCCTATCTCTCTCTGTTTTCAGGGGCACCATGATGTGAACAGATTCTCCTCTACCATGTACTTCTGCCATGGTGAAACCCTGGCCCAAAATAAACCTTTTCTCCTTACAAGCTATTTACTGCAGGTATTTTGTGACAGTGATGGAGAGCTAACACTTTCCTGATCAACAAAGAAAACAAAAGTTTGGGCCTAGAGGAGATGGAGTAAATTTAGATACACACCTACTCCTTAGGAAATGCTTGCAAACACCGTGAGTAATTCAGAAAGTAAACTTTTTATTAGAACAAGGTGTTCATGTAATTGTAGGAAGGCTGGCAGCCATCAAGCCCCTAACATGGAACAGCTAATTCACCAGAAGAAAGGAAATAAAGCTATAAAAACAATCTCTACAGTGACAATTTATCAACATCTTCATCCCAAAGAAAGAGCAATTTCACCAGTTCCTACAAGCTTGGCAATCTGCTAGAATGCTTATTTACCTCCAAGATCTGTCTGCAAATTTCACTTTTAGATCTATATACTCATTTTCTAGGAAAGGACAGCTCTTATGTAATTGCCTCCCAAAGATGCTTTCATTCCTGAAAGGAAACAGTTAGGAGCACACCACTCACTGTTAAGTTGTCTCTGAGCAACTGCATGATGAGAGTGCTGTCTTTGTAGGAGTCTTCATTCAGTGTATCAAGCTCTGCAATGGCCTCGTCAAAAG